TTAGAAAAGAGGCGACTAAGGGGGATATGATTGAGATCTATAAAATCATGACTGATCTGGAAAAAGTGAATAAGGAAAAGTTATTTACTTATTCCCACAATATAAGAACTAGGGATCATCAAATTAAATTGATAGGCAGTGGTTTAAAACAAACAAAAGGAAGTTTTTCTTCACTCGGCGCACAGTCAACCTGTGGAACTCCTTGCCAGAGGATGCAGTGAAGGGTAGAACTTTAACAGGGTTCAAAAAAGAGCTAGATAGATTCATGGCGGTTAGGTCCATCAATGGCTATTAGCCAGGATGGGTAGGAATGGTGTCGCTAGCCTCTGTTTCTCTGGAGGTGGGTGACGGGGAGGGATCACGTGATGACTCCCTGTTGTGATCCCTCCCTCTGGGTCATTTGGCATTGGCGACTGCTGGCAGACAGGATCCTGGGCCAGATTGACCTTTGGTCTGACCGGGTCTGGCTGTTCTTACGTTCTAGGGGAAGCTAAGATGAAGCAATTTACTTTTTCTTTGGGCTTTCTAAACACCCGTTGTGTGAACGGGGGCTCCCTTAGATTTACTCCTCTCCTCCAGCCTGAAGCCTGCCCTCTGTGACTCCCCTGTACCCTACTGCAGTCCATGGGCACGCATGAGTGTAACAGTGGCCAAATTTGGCTCCTAGACACCCAGCTATTAACAGCCCTGACTCTGACCCTCTGCATCGAACCTCCGCGGGTCCTGGATGAAGAGCGGGTGGGGGGGGTTCCCCAGGGTGACTCCACTCCAGCCGGGGGGAGGCCAGGCGTGGATGCAGTTTGGCTTTCTTCCGGCTGCTCTCTTCTCCCTGCTCGTCGTAGCCTGCGCTGCTCTGAGCCGCCCAAGTAAAAGGGATCAAATCTGGGTCAGGCAGTCTCCTGCAGAAGGGTAATTACAGGTGAAAGCATTCCCCCTCCCCCCCCCGGAAGCCCTGCAGGGTTGCTACCCAGGCTGCGGGGAGGGGAGCAAAGGCTCAGCCAGCAGAGAGGGCTCCTGGGACCAACCTCCCCCCTGGCACATTCAGAAAGCGTGGGCAGAGATGCTCTTGCCAGCAGTCAAGCAAACTCACTCCCCCTAGAGCTCATCCCTCACCTTGTTTGTCCAGCAGGGGGTGGGGGGGTCTCTTTTGCTCCCTCTCCAACTCCCCCCAGCGGCAGCAGTTGTAGTTACTTTCCTCACTGATGCGCCGAGCCCAGAGGTGCCAGGGCCAGGCGCCGAGGAGGCTGGAGGGGCCAGGCCTTGCACAAATGAAGCGCCGAACCTCTCCTTAGCGCTCGCTAGGGAAGCCAGGACGGCGCGGGGTCCCTCTGGCCACTGGGGCTCTTGTTTGTACTCACGGGTGTAAATAAGAACATTTATACTTCCGCAGAGGAAGGCTTTTCCTTTCGTGCAAAACGGAAGCACGTGGCCAGCCAAATCCACAGGCTCGCAGGCCCCCACCCTTCACACAGGACGTTTTTCTAACAGTGCGCTAATTGCTTATTTTTCTCTCTCTGACGGACACACAAGGCTTGGCTGGAGGACAAATTCCTCCTCGAGGAGTCATCGATAGATCCGGGCCTTCCCGGGGACCGCGAGCTGAGTCGCAGGCCCGGTTCTGCTTTCCCCACAGCTGGGAGACAGTTCTTGACAGATGCTGGGCGTGCCCACGCCATCCCCACTCCCACAGGAAGCGAGATTCTGATCGCGGTACCGTGAGCGTGACTCTGGAGCAATGAAACAAACGGCGCGAGTCTCGATTTGCACCCATGGGGGTGAGAACAGACTGAGCACAGATGGCAGGCTTGGGACTGTCTGTACCCCATTCCTACAAACAACCTCCCCCCCACGCCTTTGAGTTAGGGCTGTGTGCCAACGCTCCAGCTGTGCCCCGGGGGCCTTGCACATCTGGGTGGTTCGCGGTGAACCTCCCCACTGCCTCTGACCTTTTCGAGAAGCCATGGCCACAGCTTACGGAGCCATCCCCATCGTTGGCAAAGTCAAACCCCTCTGTAATCCCAGCCTCCCTTTCCAGTGTGTGGGGCAGGTTGGGGGAACCCCAGCCCACCCACTTCTCCCAATTCCAGCCCTGGGACCCTAGGGTGTCTCTCTAGGCTGTTCCTCTAGCCCCAAAATAGCAGCCCTTTCTCTGGGCCACTTCTCCAAATGCTCGCCTTATACCTGAGTGAATTTTTTTGCTTCAGCACAAACACTTCTTTCCTGTCTCGGCTCTTGGCAGCACCCTTCCTCCTCTCAGTCCTTCCTTCTTCTCCTTCCCCCTCCCTTAGCCGAGGGGAAGCCTTTTAAAGTAGCCCCGCAGGCCTTAATTGGCTGTAAGTGCCTGATTAACCTGCTGCCTCAGGCAAGCTCTGAATTAGCCTCAGGTGCCTGCTGAGGCCACCGTCTCTGGCAATTTATTCAAACTATTCATCCAGCTCCCAGTACGTCAACCCTCCACCAAACCAGCCGTCCTGGGTCAGTCACAGTTGTTACATTTCATATTGCCCCAATGCAAACTGTACATAGCAAGGACTAACTCCAGTTGCAAGTGTCCTCTGAAGAGCCATTGTGCTGCATCTGGAAGACGATGGTCAAGCATTCAGGTGTGTAACCCTCCAATTTAAGGGCTGACTTGAGGGTGAATGTCAGTACAACCTGAACTACAGCGTTGTTACCCACACAACCCCAATACAACAGACAAGACCACCTGAGTAAGGAAGTATTGGGCTACCTCCCACTCTCGCACTGCCTTATTCCAGGGTCACTCCTGCGTGGTCTCCGTAGTAAAGGAGAGCAGAAGCTGGCTTGGGGTGTTTGTTCCTAGGGGGCATGCTGAAGGGGAGCTCCGCGGCCCAGGTGAACACCCCAGACCAGGTCAGTATATTGTACGACAGTAGCACGGAGGAGAGGCAAAGACCAGAGCCAGGGGCTGTAGACAGCAGCAGTAAAGGTCCTGTCTACCCCAGGGAGCTCATGGATTAGGGTCGGACACACGCCAACATTCTTAAGGGTCCCAGGAAGGCAGCCATAGATCAGATCTGGTGGCTTGGTGGCCCAGATGTGGCTCACTGGACAGCACCCAGTTTTGGTAACAAAAATCTTCCACCCTTATGAGAGACTTGTCTTTTCCCAACCCTTTATTGTCACCAAAGAGCCAGTGCGGACTCTGTTTGTTTTGTTGAGAGAACTGGCTTCTGCCATTATCTGACTCTCCTAAAACTTTCACAGTCAGTCTATTCTCTTTTACCTTCTATAGAGTCATAAAATCATAGAACACTAGAACTGGAAGGGATCTTGAGAGGTCATCGAGTCCAGTCCCCTGCCCTCACAGCAGGACCAAGTACCACCTAGATCATCCCTGACAGATGTCTGTCTAATCTGCTCTTAAATATCTCCAGTGTTGGAGATTCCACAACTTCCCTCGGCAATTCATTCCAGTGTTTAACCACCTTGACAGTTAGGAAGTTTTTCCTAATGTCCAACCTAGACCTCCCTCCCTGAAACTGAAGCCCGTTGCTTTTGCCCTACCCTCAGAGGCCAAGGACAACAATTTTTCTCCCTCCTCCTTGTAACACCCTTTTAGGTACTTGAAAGCTGCTGCTATTATGTCCCCTCTCAGTATTTTCTTTTCCAAACTAAACAATTCTTTCAGTCTTCCCTCACAAGTCATGTTTTCTAGAACTTTAATCATTCTTGTTGCTCTTCTCAGGACCTTCTCCAATTTCTCCACATTTCTCCTGAAATGTGGTGCCCAGAACTGGACACAATACTCCAGCTGAGGCCTAATCAATGCAGAGTAGAGTGGAGGAATGACTTCTCGTGTCTTGTTCACAACACTCCTCTTAATGCATCCCAGAATCATGTTTGCTTTTTTCGCAATAGTGTCACACTGTTGACTCATGTTTAACTTGTGGTCCACTATGACCCCTAGATCCCTTTCTGCCATACTCCTTCCCAGACAGTCGCTTCCCATTCTGTATGTGTGAGACTGATTGGTCCTTGCTAAGTGGAGCACTTTGCATTTGTCCTTATTAAACTTCATCCTGTTTACTTCAGACCATTTATCTAGTTTGTCCAGATCATTTTGAATTTTGATCCTATCCTCCAAAGCACTTGCAACCCCTCTCTGCTTGGTATCATCTGCAAACTTAGTAAGCGTAATCTGTACGCCATTATCTAAATTATCGATGAAGATATTGAACAGAACCGGTCCCAAAACAGATCCTTGCGGAACCCCACTTGTTATGCCCTTCCAGCATGATTGTGAACCATTAATAACTACTCAGAAAATGGTTATCCAGCTAGTTATGCACCCACCGTATAGTAGCCCCATCTAAATTGCATTTGCCTACTTTATTGATAAGATCATGCTAGACTGGGTCAAATGCCTTACTAAAGTCTAGGTATACCACGTCCACCACGGCTCTCTTATCCACAAGACTGGTTACCCTATCAGAGATTGGTTTGACATGATTTGTTCTTTACAAATCTATGCTGGCTGTTACCTATCAACTTTGTTACTTAGCACCTTATTATATTCCAGGTGTTTGCAGATGAATTCCTTAATTACTTACGCCATTATCTTCCCTCACACAGAAGTTAAACTGATTGGTCTGTAGTTTCCTGGGTTGTTCTTATTTCCCTTTTTATAGATGGGGACTAGATTTGCCCTTTTCCAGTCTTCTGGAATCTCTCCCGTCTTCCATGATTTTCCAAAGATGATAGCTAAAGGCTCAGATACCTCCTCTATCACCTCCTTGAGTATCCTGGGATGCATTTCATCAGGCCCTGGTGACATCTCATTTTTCTAAGTAATTTGTAACTTGCTCTTTTATTTTAACTTCTAAACTTACCCCATTCCCACTAGTGTTCAGTATGTTAGGTATCCCATCATCGTCCGTCTTCTTGACGAAAACCAAAACAAAGAAATCATTAAGCGTCTCTGCCAGTTCCAAGTTTCCTGGTCTTGTTTCTCCCTCTTCACTGAGCAATGGGCCTACCCTGTCCTTGGTCTTCCTTGGACAGTGCAGGGACAGGGTTGTCGCTATGACAGAACTTGCTGTGATGAAGCCTGTTTAAAGCAAGTTTGGGTTTCATACACTTGTCCAGCTCTGTACTGTGGTGTCTAACATTGGGTTGGAACATGTTATGACACAGAGCCAAAACATGGGGAGGCCTGTGATGCCCTCAGTGATGTTACTGGCATCACTTCCTGCATCAATTTTGCGTTGGGGGTGTCACGTTACCGGAGTGTAAGGGAAGCAGCCAGGTCACTGCTGTGCCCATATGGGAGTGCTTGTCCCAAAAGTTGGTATGAAGAGGGCCATGTGAGGTGTCAAACAAAAGCTTACTGTCTACTGATTCTGTATATGCTCTTCATATATCGGTATAATGTCTGTGTGTGGAGTTATGGATATGTACTCTGTATGGAGACTGGAAATTTCTGTGTATGTGGTTAAGCAACGGGCTCAGCCTATGGACATGCTAATTAGCAAGGCTCCAGGGACAATAGGTCTCTAAAGTATCAGAGACCCACCTAGGAAGGAATCTAGGTGCCTGGTCAGCGATCATGTGACTGTCTCCAGCTTGGAAGAAGCAAGAGGGGGAATAAATAGGCCATGTGGCTGACTCCATCTTGGTCTCCACACCGGCTCCTGACCCCAGATGCGGCCTCGCAGGGCATCACAAGCCGGGAAGAACTGTGGACCCATCCTGGCATAGTATGTACACCAATGACTTTTAAGCCAGCAGCTATAACATCTCTGCTGCAAGCCTGCATCGAGAACTGGGAGATTCGATGCATGTAGTAGATGATACTGCAACAACCTTACTCTCATGTTTTTCGTTCTTTTAGTAATAAACCTTTAGATTTTAGATTCTAAAGGATTGGCTCAGTGTGATCTTGTGGGTAAGGTCCAGAGGGTAAATTGACCTGGGATCTGTAGCTGGTTTTTTGGAACTGGACAGAACGTGTTTGGTGAAGGTGGGATTGGGTTCTAAGACCCCTCACCTGTGTATGAGGCCCGGGGCCATCTGGGGCACGGATATTGCTGGGGTGTCGGAGGGGTTTTGCTCGTGATGCTTCTGGCTGGCCAAGCCGGCAGCTGGAGCACTCCGTGGGACTGGTTTGTGGCCTATTTGGGAGGGTCTCCAGTCTAGGGGCTATAGAGAGCCCCTAATTTGAGCAATTCGCCCTGAGCAGACGCCCTCAGTGGTGCCCAGACCTGGCCCGGTCCATCACACCTACGCAGTGGAATAGTTTGCTTTTGGGCCCTTAATAATTTCCCTTTAAAAAACTGCCAACGCTCTTCAGTTGTTGTTCCTCTTAGTCTTGCTTCCCATGGGACCTTACCTACCAGCTCTCTGAGTTTACTAAAAATCTGCCTTCCTGAAATCCATTGTCTCTATCTGACTGTTCTCCCTTCTACTAGTCCTTAGAATCATGAACTTTATGATTTCATGGTCACTTTCTCCCAAGCTGCCTTCCACTTTCAAATTTTCAATCCCTGCCCTGATGGCTGTGCTCAGTGTTTTGTGATCTCTGCTGCCCTGCAGGCATGTGCCCGCCTCCCCTTTCAAAGCTCCAGGAAGTATTTGAGTGCGCTACTCCGTTTGGGGAAAAAAGAACAAATAATTGGAGTACTTCTGTTCTGCCCTGCACTAGAAACACAGCAGCAGGGAGACGACTGCTACAAGGGGAGGGCTGGAAAGAAAGCTGTGCTGTTTTGACATTCCTCAGCACGGGGAGCTCACAGAGCTAGGGGGGAATCCCAGGAAGCACAGGGATCAGCTCTGCCTTCCCACTACATTGCACTGTGGGAGCTAGCAATGTGGCCATGAAATGTCGATAAAGGGAGGCAAGAAAACCAGTGTGACCAGTTTTCACTTTCAGTGGTTTTTGCAAGTTGACAGCACTTCTGTTACCAAACCTTCCCAGTGTCGACATAGTCTGAGTAAGGACCTCAGGAACTTGCCCCCTTCTAAAAAAACGCCCCCCAGGATCCTCGAAAGCTGGGAGCACCCCAGGGTGGTGGCAGCTGGCTTTAGGAACTGGTGTTGGGAATTCTGCAAGGGGGGGGAGCTCCTTCGGAGTCAGCAATAGACACCTCGGCAGGGTGTCCGACAGTAGCTGCTATTTGATATTCTGCTTAACATGCTTCAGTTGTTCAGCAAGGGGCAGAAGCAATATAATGTGATGTGATGAGGTTACCACAGGACTTGGCCAATGGATCACAACTAGATGTGGCAAACCTCCTGCTGCACTAACATTTTTTCAAATCGGGTGCAATTCAAGGTCCACACACGACTACTCTGAGGACCCCTGAGCTGCACAGACTTTGGGCTGGCTCAGTGTGGGCTGGCACCCATCATCCGTTTGGCCAATACTTATAAATAGAGTCACAGCTCTTGGGCCTGCCAATGCAAACTGCAACAAGGGCTACAACCACGGCTGTGTGCGATGAGTAATCGACACTTGCCGAGCCCTTTTCAGAGGGGGAGCCGGGTTAGTCTCTTTCAGCAAAACACAACAGGGAGTCGTGTGGCACCTTAAAGTCCAGCAAATGTCTTAGGGCATAAGCTTCCGTGGGTTGCAACCTTAATAAATTTGTTATTTTTAACAGGACCCCTTGGGCTATGTCTACACACGCGGCTTCTTGCGCGAGAAATATGCAAATGAGGCTAAGCGTGGAATATTGCCGAGCCTCATTTGCATACCTAATGAGCCTCCATTTTGGCAGAAGAGGCTCTTGCGCCAGAAGGAGCTGTCTACACTGCCCCCTCTTGCGCAATGCCGTTATTCCTGAAAATAATCGGCGTGGCAGCGTTGCGCAAGAGGGTTTTTCTTGCGCAAGAAGGGGCAGTGTAGACAGTTTCTTCTGGCACAAGAGCCTCTTCTGCCAAAATGGCAGCTCATTAGGTATGCAAATGAGGCTCAGCGATATTCCACGCTTAGCCACATTTGCATATTTCTCACGCAAGAAGCCACGTGTGTAGACGTAGCCTTGCTGTGTTTTGTTGAGCACTGAAAAGGGCAGCCCCCAGGAACCAGGACGGGCATTTGGCCTTCCAATGACTCATTTGACCAGCTCCATCTCCGAGCCAGGGACTACAATTCTCCGAGGGCACTCACACAACAGCCAGAGGCAACCAGCCGGCTTCACTTTAAAAAAATGTTTTATTTCAAGATCTTCCTTTTTTTTGTTTTTAAACTCGTATTTCAAAAAAAGGCGGGGCAAAAGTACAAAAAAAGCCGGTTGAGTCACAGCAAAGGTTTAGAAATCACAGCCGTGGAACTAAGGCAAGCAATATACGGACAGCGCACGGACCAGACAACCCAACGGACACAATTCATCTGAAGAGCATTTCGAGTCTTCGTTTGTATTATTATTTTTTTTTTCTCTGTACAAAACACACCAAAGCATGCCGCGGAGCCGGGGCGGGGACACACGTAACGAAGAGTGAGTAGAAATGGGGGTTGTACACGAGGGAAGGGAGTGTGATCTCGCGCCTCCCGGCCCTTCCCTTCATGTCAAGTTGTTCTGCAGACAGTTCACGCCGGCGTCGGCCGCTTCGCCTTTCCCGTGATCGTGCTTGGGCGACATGGAGTTCTGGATGTTAAAGGATTCCTCTTCTTTCATGCAGGATTTCAGAGAGTCCTGCAGCTTGTGGGGCGCACTGGGGTCCTCCTAGGAAAGAGAGCAGGGGAGGGGGTGGAAACGGGAGAAGCGTGGTCACTGAGGAGGCTGTGAGGGAGGCTAGAGAACCCGGGGGGGTCTTCACTTTGTTAGCCCAGCACTGAGAAAATGGGGGGGGGCCATTCCGGGGTAACAGCACTGCAAACAGGAGAAGCCGGCTCCCTCGTGGTGCATGACAGTGAAAGGCTCTGAGCAGGGCTGCCACCCAACCGCGTCCCGCCGGCTGGGGGCACACCGCGAGACCCTGCCAGTCAGGAGAGGCCGGCTCCCTCGTGGTGCATGACAGTGAAAGGCTCTGAGCAGGCCTGTCACCCAACCGCGTCCCGCCGGCTGTGCGCACACCGCGAGACCCTGCCAGTCAGCTCTGAAACAAACCCACCCGCAATGAGGCTGCGGAGAGGGAACCGGCTTCTCCTTGCAGTGCTGTTACCCCGGGGAGACAGGTCCCCGGTGTCACCACCTTAGTCGTCTACAGGGGAGACACTGAGGCACAGAGCCCCTCTGGGCTGGCAGGAGAGCCAGGAACAGAACCCAGCCCCCCGCCTCAGACAGCACCCCGTGGCCAACAAGCACCCCAACGCCACACCCTTCTCGCAGCCGGCCCACGCTCTTCACCAGCCCCGCGGTCCTGGGGGAGCTCCTTAGGCAGGGCCCCCGCATGACAGAGGGTGCCGGCAAGGTGTCAGGTGGGCTGCAAGGCAGGTGTCTGGGAGGGAGCTGCAGTGTTGGGGGGAGCGTGAAGAGCACCCAAGGATCCGTCCGTGGGCGCCACATGCAGCAGCCCCTTCCAGTTCCCTTTGTGTATTGCTGCCCTGGGCTGTAAAATCTAGAGCCGTGGTCCCCAACCTTTTGGGGCTGCCGGGTGCCCAGGGGCGGGGCCGTGCATGCGCCAGGGCTCAAGAATAGCTGGGGCTGGCCCTGGTCACTAGGTGAGCACATATAAATACCCCGGCAGGCGCCATGGCACCCACAGGCACCGGGGCCACTGATCTAGAGGGATCTGCAGCTGATAACTTTCCAGCCAAACCTGGCTCCATAGGGAACCAAATCTGGGTCTTCGGTCACTCCCGAAATGCAGACAACTTTTACATGAAAATGAATCCAAAGTGTATAAACATGTAGTGACTCCTGCAGTCTGACTGCGCACAGGGACCCGGATCTGGCCAGTTCTGCTGTGAATGGCAACGAAATACACGAACAGAGGCGGCAGCAGACGTCCGGCTCACTGAAGCCTGCGAGTGAGGCTACTGTTAATCAGCACGTCAGTTACCACGAACACCCAGCTGCACATGTTCAGGCATGCAAACCGGCCCTCTCATACTGGCTCTGTTGACTAGGTAGCTTGGCTCGTTGGTTTGAAAGGGCTGCAGAGCCCTGATCTAGACGATCCCACGGATGCTCGAGGGTTTCGGTGTCCGGTGTAGATGGCATCCCCTGGGCCAGCAGCTCTGGGCTAGCTCACATCTCTGTCCATGTGCCTCGCTCCTGGGTCCTTTCCCAGTCCTGCAGAGATGCCTGGATCCTGCCCCACCGCACCACCTGCTGGGCCAATTCTGCCCCCCTCCCTCCCCCCCCGCCCATAGCCTTTCAGCCCTGCTCTGGCACAGCTTCTGCTTTCTGGCCCCCCCAGAAACAGAGAGTCAAACACGCCAGCCTGCCGCCTCTGCTGTGCTGCCCAACTGGGGCACCCTCAGGAGATCTGGGGGGTTAGACTGCACTCTGCCTTCTAGAGACAAGGAGCCAAGCCCCCTCACTGGATGTCTGTTACCTCTGCGTGGGCATGCTGCCCCGAGCCACCCCAGGAGGAATCTGCCTCTCGCGAGGGCTGGCCTGGTACTGTGGGCTCTAAAGGCTCACCTGCACTCACAGGTAGCAACTAACATCGCTTCCAGACCTCCCGCCACCAGAGGGCGAGGTGAGCCCAGCCCTGTGAAAGGGCGACAATGTACGGAACCATTTGCAGCCCCGCCCTCTACTGGACGGACTCAGGACTGCTCTGCTGTGTGTCATAGCCACTATACATCTAGCAGATAAAGGAGATTCTCATTTGGCTCATCTCCATGGAGCCTATGCTTTTGGAGGAGGAGGAGCTGAGCTCTGCCCCAGGGCTGCTGTGAAGTCCTGCATGGCCATGGTAGGCAGCCCAATGAAGACCGTGGCAGCAGCAGGCTTGCCGTGTAGTTCAACGCCCGGCATCTTGCCGGTGAGAAAGCAAACGCAAATAACAATATAGAGAAAAAAACCTTTGAAAAAGTCCAATCTTTCTACAAGCACCCCACAAGAGGAAAAAGAAAGTGTTCAGCTCCCCATGTAGGAGAAAGCCTGGCTGGCTAAGTACGAGTCGAGGTAGCTGCTAACGGTTAGCCGTCCCTGAACACTTCCTTTTCACTCTTGTGGAGCGCTTTTAGAAAGATTGGCCTGTTTCAAAGGTTTATTTTTATCTATATTTTTGAGTCCAATCTTTCTACAAGCACCCCACAAGAGGAAAAAGAAAGTGTTCAGCTCCCCATGTAGGAGAAAGCCTGGCTGGCTAAGTACGAGTCGAGGTAGCTGCTAACGGTTAGCCGTCCCTGAACACTTCCTTTTCACTCTTGTGGAGCGCTTTTAGAAAGATTGGCCTGTTTCAAAGGTTTATTTTTATCTATATTTTTGGTCT